AAACAAATTGATGGCATGTGCAATCCTGCATCAAGAAAGTCTATCAGCACCATTTTTCTATCAGCATGTGCTCACTTCATATCTGTGCCACATTTCAGTAATTACACACTGAACAAACTACAGAACAGCGATAAACATAACTTTTATGGGCACTGGGAAGCCAAAAAAATTACATGAGCTGCTTTATCACAACATATGCTTTATTGCAGTGGTCTAGAACCAAACCCTTAATGTCTTCAAGGTATGCCTGTACCTTAGCCTTTAAAATAAAAATCTTAAACACACAGAGGAAAATATGCAAAAGAATCACATTAGATGCAAAACCTATAAATTACTCTTATCTACAAGGAAAATGGCTATGAGATAGGGCATATGTGTTTTCTATTTACAATTCTCAGATGAAAAACATAACTCACAACTAAATCAAAGTTCTAATTTAGTAACTTTTATATGTCAGACATGGTGCCAGTTGCTGTAATGATATTCTTATTCTTACACCTAAACAATAATATTGGTTAAATTATCTTCACTTTTCAGTTGGGGACACTAAGGCTCAGATAGATTAAGTAGCCAGCCCATTGTCAACAAAGGGCAGAGCCAGAATTGGAATATTCGTGTATTTAGCTCCTTTTGAACATACTACCATGAACTACCATAATTTACATAATTTGTTTTAAATATATGATTTTGAATACATCCTTTGAATTCCTAAATCTACTTGAACAACATTTAGAGAGTAAACTTTTTCTCAAAAGTCATCTCAGGTGTCATGGAGGCAGAGATGAGGACATGGAGAGATAGAGCAGCTGAGGACTCTAGACTCTTGGAAAGAGAAAGGCTGTGTGCCGGCAGCCAGGAGGCAGGCTTGAAGAATGTTCCCTTTGGTTGTTTAAATAATTACATCTTCCAGAGTGTTTTTGTGTACTTCCCCCCACTCCAAAAAAAAAAAAAAATTCAATAGAAGCAAATGATGATGCACGGAGGACACTGTAATCATTGCAATGAAATGATGAGTGTAAAACCGATGTTCTCCCATGTCACTCAATTTACAATAAAAATTTCAAAAAAAAAAAAAGTCATCTCAGGTGTCAAGAGCCACTGAACAAAAATTTGCTTCCTAAAGGGTTTTTATTCCTTCTCTTATTTAAATCAGAAAATTGTCATATTTAATGCCACATTTTAATTTAATGATATGAACTAATATTAACATTTAACAATGGAAATACCCTGATTATAAGGGAAAGCAGAAAAATTTACAGATTGAAAAAACTATGTGGCTTTGTATCAATGTTGTTGTTGTTGTTAAGTGCCGTCGAGTCGGTTCCGACCCATAGCGACCCTGTACAGGGTTTCCAAGGGTGTAAATCCTTACGGGAGTAGAAAGCCTCATCTTTCTCCCGCGGAGCGGCTGGTAGTTTCGAACCGCTGTATCAATGAACTAGTATAATTCAATACAGCATTTTTAACAATGGGATTTATTTCATTTACAATCAAGATGGTTCTTCCCTACTTACAATATTCCTAAGAAGCACCTTTTAATATATAAGGGGAGGAAATATGTGTGTCAATCCATTGCCTTCCTTTTTTTGAGAAAGTTTCCTTACAAAAACGTCATCAGTTGAAATGAACAGTGTCCTTACTAATGTTGTCAATTTACTTTTTGAAGTAAACTCATTATGTTATCACAAGTCTATAAATTATTAGAATGGTCAATACACCTTAATTTGAGAATCACTGTATTAGTTCACACGTTAATTTTTTTTAAAGTAAACTCACATTGTCTTTATTTCTGAAGAATTACATCGCAGGGTTTTTTGATTTTTTTAGTGTATCTTATTATGAGGAAGAAATAACAAAAAAACAAAGCAACAATATCATGAAGTACCAGGTCAAAAACAATAAAACCTGAATTAGAGCAAGGCCACTGCAAAAGTACTGTTATTTTTATTCTGACACCACAATCTACTCTTTCCCTGTACTAACTTACTACTGTGGTATTTGGCAGTATGCATAAGTTAATTTTGTGATCAAAAAAAGTAAAACATGATTCATAAGAAATTTACTTTAAAAATACACAGGTCAATTTAAGTCATGTTTCATAAGTCAGATTACAAGAAACAATCTTATTTCCATAAAATCTAGAAATAAAAAAACATAGCTTACACCAAATAACAATGTCATAATCCTCATATGCAGATGTCAGAAATTCATGAAGATATGGCCGCATTAATTCTACCCCAGTCTCTGCACAAGACCTATGGTCTAAAAGAAAATCAATCATCGATGATTATTAGCTTATTATCATGGACAAATATCTAGTATCCATAAAGCTTATGAAATGTAAATACTCAACTGCAACTTGCTTCAGACTGAAGTACACTATATGACAAAGAAATGCCTTTCAAGACACAGAATGTCACAGCCTTGAGATCTAATTTTAATTCATTAATTTTGTTCAATTTGAAAAGAGCAATAGCCAGAATTCAGGCTTATAAATTACCCCATTTTTTCTTCTCATCAAGTTTTTAAAGTATCTATGTTAGTTTCACACATTGACAGCCAGAGTACGGTCACCTATACACACTTCCAGATGTAACTGAACCTCATCAAAGTGACAGATTTAATAATTTTATAATTAAAATAAATTTAT